ACACCCGGTCTTTAGGCTCAGTAGAAAGTAAAGGGATAATTTATGATAAGTTAGTAACAACCAACTGCAGTACCCCCACTCCATCCTGCTGTCCTGCTGTCCTGCCGTCCTGCCGTCCTCTTTCATGGATGCTTGTTTGAGCCCATGGTATCTCAACACACCTCAGACACAGGGAAACCTGAGGAGAGCTCAGCTCTGGATTCAAACTACAATTCCTTTCTTAATACGGGACATTAAATTCCACATAAATAATTGTCTATTATTTCTTTCACCTCTGTTTCAGTGTGAATGGCTCTGTCTTTCATTGTACAAATAAATGACTGTTCTGTGCTACATACAAAATGCCAGAATCCGGTCTGACCTGGATAATTCCCAGCAAGTGCTTCTGGGAAGATGTTGCAGTTGTGGTGTGTGGGAACAGCTACATAAAGTTTGGGAAAATCAGAATTTGTCTTTTGTCTGTCCCTCATCCTTGCTGCCTAGCTCAGGCTGAATCAGGATAATAAGGCTGTACTATCAGAAAACTGTCCTCATTAGCCACAATTTCTCAACATCCTTGGACTGCTTCTGAACACTAATTGCTGGGAACCAGAAACTGTAAGGGAATACACACCCTGCAGACATGTAGTTAATGTGCACACCTCTCGCAGGTGAGGATGGGACAGGCCATTTAATTTCCCCAAAGAGGATCATCTGGCTTTTCCCCTCCCCATCTTTTAAGTTTCTCTTTCTTAACAGCTTTGTTAATTTAGGTTAAGTGATTTGGTTGTCATGGAAACCGGTATTCCTCTCAGGCTGATTGTGTCAAAGGCATCATTAATCTGTTTTCTCAACTGCCTCTTCCTCATCCATCTAATTGCAGCCCCCCTCCTCCTTCCTCCCTTTGGATGACATCATTTTGGACATTTTTAGGACACCATATGTGAGATTCAGCAGAATTTATTTTTTATTCAAATCTCACATCCCTACATTGTCATAGTCCCATACTAAAGAAGCCAGGCAGCTCCCCGGGTGGGGACCATACGTCTCCAAAGGTGGAGGGTGAAGGGTTCTTTGCCTCAGGTGCAGTTTAGCATCCCAGATAAAGGAGGCTATATTTGTCTTCCTGCCTCCTCACCTCTTTAGTTTTCTATTTCCAAAACAGAGTCTAAATAATTAATCATGATTTTTTTGAGGGGGGAGGGAGTCATGTTATTTGAAAGAGTAAAGAGCCTATCCTATTGGGATTATGTGGAGGAAGGATAGCTCAGGGAGCAGGTGGGCTACCCTCTTACTCAGATGGTTTTGGTCCAGGGGAGAGCATACTCAGTAATTTACCTAGTCCTCTCAGGAATACTGCTGGGACAAAAATGCTGTGTCCTTTGTGTCTTTGCCTTGGTGTCCAATTTTACACAAACCTCAGCAGTCTGACCTACAGGAAATTCTCAGCTGTTCCATCTCAGTCTGTGGACATCTTTTTTTTTTTTTTTCATACCTGCATCTCTATGCAAGGTTGCTGGAATCTCTGCCCATTATTAGGATGGAGGTACAGGCACTAAGAACAAGTTAGCTGTGGGTGGGGCACAGCTGGTAGCACCTGGCCCATCCACTCTGCTTGCTGATCCTTACTCCCAAAGGATTTTGAGAACTGTTAGTCTTACCCCCTTCTTTTGGGAAAGCAAAATCTGGTCTTTTTCCTATCTGGCTACTATTTTTATGGGGTAATGATAAGACTGAAAATAATATTTACTTAAGTTCAATTACACAACATTTTGCACATAAATCAAGTAGTAGAATGAAGAATTTTATTTCATAACAGGTACAATTAAATTACTTTCATTTTTGATGTGATAGTTACTTGATTCTAAAAGTTCACATCTGTAACCTGAAAGACCCTCCAAAAAGCTGGAATTGATCCAGGGCCAGCATGGGTGATGCAGAGCACACTGGGAAAAAGGGGTGGAGTTGCTACCATATTGAGCATGGGCAAACGGGAGCGAGGAAGACTGTCGGTGGGAGGTGGATGGTGTGTGCATTTCAAACATGGAAAAGGAAAAGCCTATAAGAATCCACGTCTTTGTAAGTCACCCCTTCCAAATGTCACATAAACTATGCAAAATCCAAATAGAATGTCTTATGTCGGTTTGTCAGTCCTCATCAGGACCAGGAGACCCTGAATGGGGGTGGATCTCCCAGCAAAAAGGGAAAATTTTAGGGAAGCAACATCCTTTCTCATCTCTATTCCTCAGGAAAAATTCATTGTTACTTCCTTATTGCCTGACTTTTAAATCCATTTGTTTTATTATCTTAACGTTTTTGTTATGTTTATTTACTTCTTGTGTGTGTATGCCATGGCATACATGTGGAGGTGAGGGACCAGCTTGTGGGAATCAGTTCTTTCCTTCTACTGTGTGGGCCCTGGGGATCTAACTCAGGTCAGGTCATCCATTTATTATACATATATTTCATTTAACTATAGTTAATTTGAAAGTATGTCTCTTCAAACATGAGTTATTTAAATCTCATTTCTTACACTTCTTGCCCAGCAGTGTCTAATACAAAACATTTAGTTAGAGTATTTTGGGTGAAATTTGACTTAGGACTAAAGCAATATTGATTCATAGCTAAGTCAAATTTACCATAGGAAAGAATATCTGTTGGCCTCAATTGCCAATAGTGACCAAACTGAGAAGACTCAAGACACCAATACCCTAGGAAATGTTTCTATTTGAGGTCAAAGGGGTGTAGCAGTCAGTGCTTAAGAAGACCACACAAAGAAAGGTTGTGGCTACAGTTTATGCTCCTGCAATTTAGGCAAATTTGTGAGAAGCTGGATGTGAGACATGTGAGGTCCTACGATGACTCTTCACTTTCTGGCTTAGGTGTTGTGTGACCCAGATGTTCCTCTGACTCTGTGATGACAAGCCATGGACCCACCTCCTTCCCACGCTCTGTAAAGAAGCCACTCCCCTTCCCTCTTCCAGCCAATTGGTTGCCCATAGCCACTTTCAGGGGAGGGGCTAAGGGTAAAAACCTGGGAAAACCATGAGGCTGGTCTCCTGTCATTTTGTGAGGCTGTCCTGTCTGGAACAACAGGATTTATGTCTGGGTGTGGACTTTCGAACACAGCTGTAAGTAAACCTGCACCCCAAGCTTAGTTAGCAAGTCCAATAAACTTGTTAAGATTCTTCAAGCCAGGGTTTGGAGAATTCTTTTCTCAGGTTGTTTCAAGGACCGTGGGAGGAAGGGATTGGATGCTATGTGTGCCTCCCAGCAGTGAATTTGACTTACAGGTGTCTGGGAGACATTGGCAGCACAGGGCTTAATATGTTTTATAGTGTGAGTGGGGAGATCAGTGAGCTGACTGGAACTTAAATTCGAACAGCACCACTGCAGAACTGAATTTGGCCTTTCTGAGTAAAGCACAAAGATTATGTTTTTTTTTTTTTTTTGGATGGTTGGTTGACTCTTTCATGCAAATATATGAAGCAAAGTGTCCAATATCTTCCAGTTTGAACAAGAAGTCTTTTCGCCAAGGCTGTTGAACACTGCAGAAAACTAACAAAAATAGGACAGAGGAATACTTAAGAACTTATAGAGTGTGAAAAAAAATTCACATTTTGAGAAAAGTTTAATATTTTAACTAGTTTTGTATTGCTAGGAAGTCACTGATTTTGTGATGTGTGTATGTGCACATGATATACGTTGCTGGCAATTGAACCCAGGGCCTCCCACATGTTAGGCACCACTGTGCTCCTCGGTCCTCCTTCTACTTTTTGAGTTAGAGCATCCTGAAGTTGCCGAGGCTGGCCTTGAACTTGCTTTGTGGCCCAGGCATCCCTTGAACTTGTAATCCTCTTGCTTCAGCCTCTCAAGTAACTGGGGTTATAGACCCAAGTCACTAGGTCTGCTTTTAAAAAAAACCTAACAATTTAGCTCAAAAAAAGATAGAGCCAAGGTAGCCTGCTGATCAAGCCACACCCTGGTTGAGTGCCCTGCCTTCCTTCCATGCTTCTGGCCTCTCCTTTATTGTATTCTTCTCTCTCATGACCATCTTGTCTGCATCTTCAGGGTTCCTGCCTCTTCAGAATTTTCCTGTGGAGAGCTGTGTTGGCTGCTCCTCATCTTCACGGCGTACACCCATCGATGGCGTTTTCTCTAACTGCCCCAGTTCCAGAGTTTTTAGGTTGAAGGTGATTATAGTCCATGCCATTTTTGAAAGTTGTGGGGAGGGGTATGAAGCTGGGTTTGCCAGGGTTGACAAATATTTATCCAGAGTGCAGAAAAGGGGTCACCAGATTGCAGACCATAGAAAACAAATCTAGTTCAGAACACTGCGTGGGGCCATACCACACCCACCCCTGGCGCTCAAAATGCCCCCCGCCCAGGAAAACAAGGAATGACATGTTATTCATGGTGTAGTGAGCAGAGTAAACACCGGAGGGAGGGGCTTACATCTCACCATTTCTAGGATCCTTTCCTATAACTCATAGGTGACCATTATGTTTTCCCACAATACTTGGTGTTTTGAATTCAGCCTTTATTTCTTGCCTCGGGGAGATGCAATAGGACTTAGAAGCCACCAGGTGCCACTATTGCAGGTAGCATTCTGAATTCTCCAGCTCACAGCTCATCATGTCTGTTCAGACGTTTTGCTAAGGCTTGACAAGTTCTAAGGAGACATCACAATTGTCCCTGGTGACAGGAAGGCTTAGTGACCAGGTGGGGTGGGGGGTTTACTATTGATCTTCGGATAAAGAGAAAAAGGGTTACAAAGGCATCCACAGTCACCACAAGCAGCTTGTTTCCAAGGCGCCTCAAACTCTGAACACTATGAACTCGGAACATGTGTGAGTGAGTCTGCGAGTCTAAGCTAAATAGATGTGGCGTTGGCCCTGCAGTCAGCATTTGTGTGTTTTTCTTTCAGTCATGATGGAATCATTTAGTGGGCGGTGTACGTACATTCAAAGTAGCTAACTCCTAGCACACGAACATGAGATCATACTGCAGCGACAGCAAAGACTTGCTGTGTGTTTAGCAAACTTCCTTTCACTGAAGAGGCTAAGCTAGAAGGACAAGGGCCTGGGAGACCCTCTTGTCCCTGGTCAGCTGCCCCTGCAAGAATGCAGCTTTTTTGATGGCTTAAACACAACCGAGGTCAAGATTCCTGGGTGCGTGTGGGGGTGGGATGTTGTGATGTGTGGTTTCACAGCCCTTCTTAGTCTTCCTTCTGTGTGGCCCTTTGTTTCTGCTTTTATCCTTCTTACCTCTTCTTCTCCTCCCTCTTCTTCTCTCGCTCCAATGATCTTTTCTTCTAAGAACATCTGAAGGTATTTCTTGCCTCTATTAGTAGCAATCGGTGCTAAAAAGTTACAGTTTTGGAGCTCAGTTTCTTGCTTTTATTCAGAATACTCTAGATTACCAACAGAAGAAAGGCTCTGCTGTGAAAACTAGATGGCCAGTGAGGAAAGACAGGCAGGCTGATGAGGCCAGGGCTTCCCACAGCAGATTCAGTAAAAGGTTGCCTTTCAGGATGCTGTGTAACTATGGGAGTTTCCTGAGAGTGAGTTTGTGAAATGTTACTACCCATGTTCTCCTTTGGGTGGTGTACGATGACCTAATATCTACTTACCAAAGAAACCAGTTTAATTTTTCTTAGCTGAGTATTTGACCATCACTGACTGTGCATGGCCAACTAGTGACCTTTGGAGTACTCTCTGGAAACCATTGCCCCTGGAGATGAGTTTTGTACCTAACACTCTTTCCAAGGAGGTAAACGCCAATGCCTCTTCTAGAACAGGCTCTGGCTTTCACGTTTGTGTTCTGAGATGTTCTGTATAAAGAAAATGGAATAATATGTGGGAGATAGGATGCTTTTTACATCATTAAAAATAAATGCTATCTGAGCATGATGGTGTACTCCTTTAATCCCAGTACTTGGGAGGCAGAAGCAGGTGGGTCTCGGTGAGATAGAGGACAACCTGGTCTACATAGTATTTTGTTCAAAGGCAATCTAGAGACAAATCTTACGGTCTTATACTACATAACTCTTATACTAGTTCTGATAGTAAAATGTTACTTGCAATATCATAGCACTGTCTGGAACTAAGTCTTAAATAAGGGGAGGCATTATTAGCTCTTTGTTAAGTACTTTGAGTTGAAGAGAACACTGCAGATCATTTAGACCTTTCACACTTTTTTTCTTTTTGGCTTTTTGAGGCAGGGTCTCCCTGTAGCCCCAGATGTCCTGGAACTCACTATGTAGACCATGCTGGCCTTGAACTCACAGAGCTCCGCCTGCGTCTGCCTCCAGAGTGCTGGGATTAAAGGCGTGCGCCACCATGCTTGGCCATACTTCTTTTCCTTGTAGATTAAGAAAACTAACAAAAACCTCAAATAGGTGGCTTCCAGTGTCCAGCAAAGTTTCACTTTTGGATGTGCTAGTTCCTACCTACACTTCAGCTGTGGGGAAGAACTCTCCTCCCCTTAGGTCCTCTAAACCCAACTCACCTCTTTCATATGAGGATCACTATGATCATTCCATTTCTAGGCAAGACAAGTGGTGAGTTGCTGTTGTGAGCTACTTCCTCTGAATCAAAGCAGTGCTTCCTAGAGGGAAGCTCCTAACAGAATTTAGCAGGCTCAGGAAACTCAGAAAATCACAACTCACAAAGTCCCTCCCTCAGGTTTTATATATATGCAGAGTCTAGAGGAGCTGCCTAAAGGCTGTTTAAAGAACTCTCAGGATCAACTTTCATGCGTTGTCAGTGCTGGAGTGGACTTCTGGTGATGCTGTTGCGTTTGCGTTACCTGTGCTCCTGTAAATAACCCTCACCCATATAAGTAGCCCAAATAAGCTCGACTGGTCCACCAAGCTAGACTTGGGTGGAATAATTTCTCTGATCTGTTGGTGCTGTGTGGGGTGAACAGGTGTTCACATCTCGGCAGAAGTCATACAACACTTGTTTTTTTGTTGGAAATGTGGATGGTGGAATGACCCAATCAGAGCACAGGTTTCCCTCCCTCCCTCCTGCCCTCCCTCCCTCTGTGTCGTACCCCCACCCCTTTGTCTTGGGGACTTGCTGTGTCTCTAAAGTAATTACTGCTCTTTTCCCAGGGTTTTCCTGGGTACAATATCTAGTTTATGTCACTCCACAAGTTTGCCTTTTTACACTCACAGTGGCTTTGCAGGTTCTCCTCACAGCCCGGGCCTCTCTCATGGCTACACCCTCATATCTCAGATGCAGTGGGTGAGAGCTGTCAAAGACTGTCTTCAGAGTCAGCCCCAAATCAAAGGCCCCAATGCTGGTCCGCTGTAATAATTGACTAGAGCAGGAACCTAGCAGCTGTGGCAGGGGGTTTCTGGTCTTTCCAAGAGATAGGCATCCATAGCAGCCTTGTTAGAAGGCAACAAAGGCAACCATTGTTAGGTCCAAAGTCAGAGAAGGCCTATCAAGTCTCATTGGGTTGTTAGTGCTGCTCCTTGAGGGATAAGAGTAGATCCCTAGAAATGGACTCTTCTTTGAGAAGAAATTCTGGAGAGCATGGCAACTTCTTTGTAGACAGATCTATAACTTTAAAAGGCATATTTGGGACAAAAGCTGATTTCTCAATATTTGTGAAAATTGAGTTCATAGACAGGATAAATAACTTTGAAGTAGAATTTAAGAAAAATCCTTCTGAATTTTTTTCCTTGATTTATGGAACTTATAAAGATAGTTCCTGGAAGGCAGTATGTAGGCTTATGAAATTTATCTAATGTATTTGCTATGAGGATGAAATAGAGTTGTGGAATTATTGCGCTCAGACTCAAAGGGAAATTAAGTTCCATGGATGAAAAGATGTGTTTAAAATGTACCCTGAAAGACGTATCAGGTAATAAAGCACCAGGGCCAGATGGATACACAGCAGTATTGTACCGAACACGCAGTTAGAAGTCACTCCCACTCTTAGAAGGTTTACAAGCTTGCTTCAGGAACCACAGAAAGTTCTTTCTTCCATTTCCACTGGCAGGAAAAAGAAATGCACAGGCTTTAAGCTCATTTTATTTTTTTGAATTCTAACCAAAAAATTATGAATTAGATTTATAAAGCTACTAAGCAGTATATTTGCCTTATCCAAGTGGGTTTATTTTTTGGAAATTTTCTGTACGATATTATTTACTATCTAGTTAATATTATAAATATAGCACTGAACTGAAAAATAAGTATGGATAGTCTTTTCCTAGAAAGTCGAAGAGCTGAAGTATTCATCTCAAAGAAATAGTCACAGAAAAGTTTTTGTTTTGTTTCACTTTTGAGACTCACCAGGATCTAGGCAGAATGTTTGAGCTTTCCAGTTCTACAAACATATTCATGAAACTATCTGATATTCTACATATTTCTTTTTAAATTTTTAAAAATTTCTATTTTTTAATATTAACTAGCATGTAGGTAAGTGCACCCCTATTGCGCAATGCCCATGGAGGACAGCTGTAGGATCCCCTGGAACTGGAGTTATGGACAGTTGTTAGCTGCCTTGTGGGTGCTGGGATTTGAACCTGGGTCTTCTGTAAGAACAACCAGTGTCCCTAACTGCTGAGCCATCTCTCCAGCCCCTAAATTTCTCTTTTTAACTGTGTGTATATCTATGTGGGGGACTGTACATGTGTGAGTGCAGGTGCCAGCAGAGGCCAGAAAGAGTGTCAGGTACCCTGGTGCTGTGGTTACAGGTAGTCCAGTCCTGGGAACTGGACTCAGGTTCTCCACAAGAGCAGTACATGCTCTTAACTACTGAGCTACCTTTCCACACCTTCTACATATTTCTTAACGTGAATTTGAAATTCCTTATCCCTCTTTTAAAATATCCAATGTCAAGTTTAGTAAACTATGAAGTGTTCACACAATAGATGTTATGTAGCCATTACAAATAATATAGAGTATTTAACTGCAGAAAGATGATCTTAATATTTTTGTAGTGAAAATGGATTCCAAAGCTAGTGTGATGGTATAGAGCTATAAGGCCAGTACTCAAGAGGCAGAGGCAAGAGGACTGTGAATTTGAAGCCTGCCTGAGTCACAGAGTTACAAAGAGAAACTGCATCTCCAAAAAAAAGAGGGGTGTGTGTGTGGGTCCTTATGGGATGATTCACTTTTTGCAAAGTAATAGGTAAATGTGTGTTTATATATATGCAATGCTCAGCAGGGGCCTTTGTGAGGATCAATTAAACACCGAGACTGGAGACCTTCAGTTTGGCCTATGCTGCTGTGATTCGGACAGGAATCATAGGTCTTTGCAGAACAGCATTTTCATCCCTAGTCCTTGCAGCAGTACAGATCGGACGCAAGAAGAAGGCGACACACGAGGAAGAGCAAGAGTCACCTTGATTTAGCCTCACGTCTCATAGTGGGCGAACATTTCTCACAGCAATGTAATAATCTTCCAGGGTCATATTCCAGTTACTAGAGTGGCCACACAGGGAAATCCATAGCTATACTGCCTGATCAGGCAGCTGACTGGTGTCCATTTATAGTCCTTCCCAATGCTTTTGAAAACCCAGGAGCATTTTATCCCTTAGTATCTGTGATGGTTAATCTTAGCTGTCAACTTGATTGGAATGAACTAATAAAATCATCTTTGGGTGTATCTGTGAAGGCTTTTCCAGAAAGGATTATCCGAGGGAGGAGTGGATAGCACCTTCAATCTGCTGGCCCAACAGTGAGAGGATCCAAGGAAAAAGCAATGCCTGCCTTTGCCTCTTGCTGGTAAGTACATCTCTTGCTACAGCTGTGTCCTCTGTTGACATCAGTCTCCACCTTCTTTGGCCTTCCAGTGTAGACTGAAGACCAGCCACTCTCTAGAAATCTTGCAGGTTTTCTGCACTAGATTGGGACACCTGAGGCAGCCAACTTTGTGGACTTAACCAGCTACAAGGTTCCTGGCCTTTCCAGCATGCAGAGGGACTATTCAGCCACAATCATGTAAACCAATCCAATAAATCTCATATATGTACACACACACACACACACACACACACATATATATATATATTGTGTTGACATGCTACCTGTTGAGTCATCAGGTATTGTAGCGGTCAATTTAAGACAGACAAACTGGGAATAACAACCAGATTTAGTTATTTGTGTGATGATTAATTACTATTGTTGACTCAATTGGATTAAGAACCATCTAGGGTATTAATAAAGCATACTTTTGGATGTGTCTGTGAGAGCTTTTCTTTTTCTAGGGGAGATTAACTGAATGGGGAAGACCTGTCTTCAGAGTGGGTGGCACTGGTTTGGGGACCCAAAATTAAAAACGGAAAAAGCAGAAGGTGAGCTGAGCACTAATATTCCCTGTTCTCTGCTTCCCGATCTGCCCAGATGAGAGCAAGCCACATCTTGCCACCGTATGGAGCACCACTCCCCTGCCATGCCTTCCTTACCTTGATGAACCTACCCTCAAATCTTGACCCAAAATAACCCTTTCCTCCCTTAAGTTGTTTCTTATCAGGTATTTGATCACAGCAACCTGAAAAATAATGAATATGATGAGCTTATGGACCTGGGAAAGGAGGCCAAATGAGGTACACCTGCTCACAGTGCTTATTTCTTTTCCCCCAGTGCTGATTCTTATTCCCTTTATTAGGACTCCAGAAAGATAGAGCTAGACCATTAAAGGGCCAGTTTGCAGAGAAAGTTGTGTTTAACCCTTGCCCACAGCGTTTGTTACATTAGCCACCCTCGTCCACTGTTTCTGGCACTTTTTGTTTGTTCCTGTGGATTCCAGATGCTTCTTACGTATTTTCTCTTTGCTTAGTGATTTAGTAGAAACGTAGTTCCTTCTCAGCAGTTGTAGCATTGGTCATCCTTGGGCGAGATGCCTTTAGCCTACTTCCATACTCTGTTAAGTTCTTGCCTCTCGTCAGCTCACACAGCTATGAAGCTCAACCAATTTCCAGCTGATTGTTCCATTATTTTTGACAAGGCTTTGGTACATAAATTGCTTTGTAGCCTCTCAGTGAAATTTGGTCCCTTTGAAAGTGGGTAGTCTTGGGGCCGGAGAGATGACTCGGCTCAGCAGTTAAGAGTACTAGCTTTTCGGGCAGAAGACCCAGGTTCAAATCCCAGTACCCATGTGGTGGCTAACAATGATCTGTAATTCCAGTTCCAGGGGATCAGATGCCCTCTCTGTCCTCCATGGGCACTGCATAACATGGGTGCTCTTACATACATGCAGGCATAGCACATATACACATAAAATTTTTGAAAAAGCAAATAAATTGGTGGCGCATGCCTTTAATTCCAGCACTCGGGAGGCAGAGGCAGGCGGAACTGGATCTCTCTGGTCTACATAGTGAGTTCCAGGGCAGCTGGGGCTACAGGGAGTTTTTTTAAAAAAAAAAAAAAAAAAAAAAAAAAAAAAAGCAAATAAATTTAAAAAAGAAAGTGGGTAGTCTTTGAGGCCAGCATTTATTTACTTATTATTTCAAGTTTTTAATCTCTAAATTTTTTGTGTATATTTATTATACAACGCATTGTGTTATATAAGGACATTGTAATACAAGTAAATATTATACATTGAGCCTAGTCTCTACTGTATTAGCTTCTTTTTTGTTACTGTTTCAAAATACACAACAAAAGCAACTTTTTTGGCAGTACCTGGTGTTGAACCTAGGACCTCAGCCATGCTAAGCAAGCGCTCTACCACTAAGCTACAGCCCCAAAAGCAACTTAAGGAAGGAAGAGTTTATTTTGCTTCAGAGTTGGAGGGTGTAATCCATCATGGCACAGAAATTATGGTGGCAGGAGCCTGAAGCAGCTGGTCATGTTGCATCCACTCAGGGAGTGGAGGGAGGTGAATGCTGGTGCCCAGTGCCCATTCTCCTTTTTAATCAGTTCAGGACCCTCATCCACGGAATGGTGCCACCCACAATTAATGTGGGTCTTCCCACTTCAGTGAATGAGCCTGAAAACTCCTTCATTGACACACCCTACATGTCTACTAGGTAATTCTGGATCCTGTAATTTGACAGATTAGCCATCATCCCCTGCTGCCCTTACCCTCTCCTCCCCCCTTCCTCCCATTACTTCCTTTTGCTCCCTTTTCAACTGTGCCTTCATGCCCCACACACATGATTTTATGTATCTGTATATAATTTAGGAACCACAAATGAAATGTTCTTGTCTTTCTGAGACTGGCTTAGTTCACTTAATAAGATTATGTGCAGGTGCATCCGTTTTCCTACAAATGACATATTCTTTATGACTGAAAATTATGATCCTCTATTGTGTTCCATTGATCTATGTGTCTATTCCAGGCAATGTTTTTGTTGCTGGTTTTACCCTCTGAGCTATGCTAGCAGCCCCCTGGTCTTTTTGTTACTGTGGCTCTAGAACTTGAAATCAGGCACGGTAAGGCTACCAGCATTAATTTTTTGCTCAGGACTGCTTTAACTATCCAGAGTCTTTTGTGCTTCCATATGAATTTCATTTTTTAAAAAAGTTTTGTGAAGAATATATTAGACTTTTGAAGAGGAGTGCATTAAATCTGTAGATTGCTTTTGGTAGGATAGCCATTTTCACAATATTAATTCTTCCAATCTGTGAGCCTGGGAGTTCTTTTCATTTTTTAGCGTCTTCTTTTATTTCTGGTATTTACAATTTTTCATTGTAGAGACCTTTCACTCCCTTGGTTAAATTTATTCCAAGGAATTTTATGTTGTTTTTAAAAAAACAGATTTATATGTTTTATGTGTACGTATGTGCTTGCCTTGTTGTCTGGATGTGCACCACATGTATGCTACTGCCCTTGGAGACCAAAAGGGGGTATTGGATCCCCTGAAACTGGAGTAACAGGTGGTTGTGAGCTGCCCAGCATGGCTGCTGGGAACTGAATCTGGATCCTTTGCAAGAGCAGGAAGCCATGTCTTAACTGAGCCAGCTCTCCAGCCCGAAGTTTGTTTCTTGCGGCAAATGTGAATGGAATAGTCTTTTTGATTTCTTTCTTCATGTCTATTTTTAATATGAAGGAAGACTACTGATTTTTTGTTTGTTAATTTTATATCCTGCCACTTTACTGAAAGTGTTTATCAGTTTTAAGAGTTTTCTGGTAGAGTTGTTGGGGTCTCTTCTTCATAGATTTATATCATATGCAAGTACGGATACTTTGACTTCTTACCTCCTATTCAGATCCCTTTTCAGTCCCTGCACTTTTTTTTCTTCAAGTGCTATATTGAAAAGCAATGGAGAAAGCGAACATTCTTGTCTTATTCCTGATTTTATTCCCGATTTTAGTGGAAAAGGCTTTGAGTTTTCCTTATTTAACATAAGGTTAGCTATAAGATTGTCATATACAGCCTTTATTATGTTCACATAAACACACACACACACACACACACACACACACACACACACACACACACACACGTCTTTTTCCTGTAGCCTCAATTGGCCTGGAACTCACTATGTAGACCCAGCTGGACTTGAACTCACAGAGATCCACTGCCTCTGCTTCCTGAGTGCTGGGATTAAAGGCATGTGCCATCACACCTGGCTGCTCAGATATCTTTTATTTCTAGTCTTTTCAAGGCTTTTTTCATGAAGAGAGTTTGGATTTGTCAAAAGCTTTTTCTTTTATAAAATTAATTTTAAAAATTATTTGATAATTTTATACAAATATACATATCTTGATCATATCCATTCCCAACCTTCCCTTCCCACTCCTCCAGACCCCATGACATATGCCCCTCCCATCTTCATATCCCCTTCTTATTTTAACAGCCCATGGCATTAATTAGTGCTTCATGCATGAACACTGGGAGCCTACTGGTGGCCACATCTCTGAAGAAAAATGAATACCCTCCCCCAGACGCCTCAATTGCCAATAGTTAAGGCTGGAGCTTCATGACCCCTTCCAACACCCATGCTAAAATTATCAACTGGCTTGATCTTGCTCAGGTCTTGTGCAGGTAACCAGAGCTTCTGGGAGTTTGTGAGTGCAATAGCCACTTGTGAGTGCAATAGCCATGTCATGTCCACAGGACAGCATTTCACAGCTTCCTTCCCATCCTCCAACTCTTACATTCTTTCTGCCCCCTCACAACAATGTTCCCTGAGCCTTGTGGAATTGACATAGATGGCTCATTTAGGGTTAGCACTTATTCTCGCACTTTGCCCAGTTATAAGTCTCATCATTGTCTGCTACCCACCACAAAAAGAAGCTCTTCTGACCAAGATTGAGAGCAGCACTGATCTACAAATAGAAACATAATTAGAAGGCAGTTTGACATGTCCATTTAGCAAACCAGTAGTAGTAGTAGGTTCCCCCACTAGGGCCTATAACCTCACAAGCCATGAGTTTTGATCAGGTTTACAGTGCCAGACATGAATTCACTTCTGTGGAGCAGGCCTCAAATCTAATCAGAAAGGAGTTGATTATCCTCATAAGAGTCATGCCTCTATTGTACCTGTGGGCACATCCTGCTTGTCAGCATTGTGGCTTGCAGGGTCCACTGCTGGGTAAGCCCATTGATGACTTTTTCCCCCAGCAGCCTGCATAGCACCTGTTGACACTATGAAAGCTAGCCAGGAGGGAGAAAGTTTTCGGGTCAGTTCCTGCTTGACTTCTTTATGTGCTACAACCAAAGTGTTTCCTTGGCATTAAGATCTTGCCATATAGTTATGGTGAGCAACCAAGAGCAATAGCCTGTGCTGTTTTGGGGGCTTCTGAGGCCACAATGACCAATATGTAGGGAAGCATCTCA